GTCACTGCAGCCCCGCTGTGCCTGCGCCCTGATTGGTTGCCTTCCGGCGATTCGAGGTCACGCGACCGACCAATCAGAAAAGGACGCAAAGGCGATGGCGGGCAGCGTGTGCGCGTGTGCCCAAGTCTGTGCCTACCCTTCGCAGGCAAAGGCAGCACTATGCGTTCGTCTGAAGGTAAAAATAATTGCTGCTGACGCAGAAGCTGGTGTTAACACACGGCGCGCAGGCACATACGGACGGCCACGTATCCCAATTCTAACGCCAATGGCTATCGATGCCAATCACGAAGAACTCCGGGGAGAGCTAGCTGCAACTCCGCGGAGCATATGCAACAAAAAGGACTGATGATGACTTTCATCATTTAAAAAAGACCATATTTCTTGGTACTAAAAATGGTTGAGGGGAGTTTTCCGTGTTACAGTAATTTTGCAACGAATCTACCTGTGCTAGTTGAATCCGCAGAACAATGGGCTACAGGACCTCTGGGGAAAAGGGGGTGAGGGGAAATGAAAGATTTCTAAACCCAATTTCCCGATACCTAATTTAATTTTTACTTTCCTGGACTAGTAAATGTCAGTGAGTGAACACAATGTGAAAAATCTACTTACTATCTATTCGAATAGTTGATAATTATAAATAATTCGGTTTAAGCACAAAGTAATATAGAAAGGCCAGTGAATTAGCATTCGCAGCGCGTAACGAAACCCGAATTCCGAACGAGACTATCAGGTGGAAAACAGAGGCTAAATAGGCACAACTAAAATCGCCGTAAGTCATTTAGTCAGTCAGCCTGAACTGATCAATGGGATGACGTACTGCTATCAAAAGCATTATCCAAACCGACAGCTGCGTCAGTTCTCTGTGCATTTAGTATATCTACCCTGACCTTGACCCTTGAACTCGGATCCTATTTGGTTTGTAATAACTTTCTCAGCCAGACACTCCCTCCTAAATACACTTCCCAACAGTATTCTCCAACTCCCAGTCCCCACTATGCATACTCGTCCTCAAATGGCTCGCCAAAACCAGCATCTACGTACACAATATTATTATCCCACTTCTAAGCCAGCAGACATGGTGGGCCTGTCCGTAACCCGGCCATCCCAATCACCACCGTTGCCACGCTCCTGAACCCAGCCGCAGCGCTTGGCCGTCTATTTAAGCTTTCCACAAGGAAGTCATCGCCTCATCTCTCTCGGATCTACCCATTGATGGCTCTGCCACCAAGGCAGGCTTCCAGCGTCTTCACCAGAGAGCCGTTGTCGAGAAAAAACGAGGTTACCATCCCCCAGTCCTTTTGGGCTCCTATCCACCTCCGATTGCGGCTTCAGAACGACAACTCCCGAGGGTCACTCGCTGTACTCTGGCTCAACTACGCATTGGCTACTCAATGGTCCTTCACCAGTACCAACACAGGCTCGACCAGTCCACACTTGACAAATATCCGGACTGCGGCGTTTCTCCGTATGACTGTCAGCATATGTTCTCCTGCATTTCCCGGCTAGACACCCAACTCTCCCCCGCGGACCTTTGGCTCAAGCCGGTCGAGATCTCGGCTTTTCTCCGTCTCCCAACTACTAACAGTTCGGATTCCAACGGGGACTCCTGATCTAATAATGGGCTACGACACACAGAATATCATTATTTCTCATAGGCTTTGACGTCTTCATGTCAGTATGTATCCCAAACTTAATCAGATGCAATCAGATAACACTACTTTCACCATTAAAAAATATGCAGTTACTCCACTCTGTTAATGATTTCCTGAAACAATATTTACCTGCTTCTTATATTTACCGTTGGCTAGGAGATAGGTGAAAAGAAATATATTTAAACTTGCGAAAATTCCCATCAGAGAATTCAGAATTCAAATTCGCTTTTCGAGGGGATGCGGCAGCTGAACTACTGAAAAGATGCCTTGACCAAGCCATGTCACGAAACTTTCCAGCAACGAGAGTTCACGTATTATTCTCAACTAATCCGGTCTGGGGAAGGCAAGGATAGGTCACCATTTCTGACCATCTCCATGTGCAGCTACTCCTTTACTTGCTCCTGTGGGGCAGGTTATATAAGTGGCATGAGTTGATGCTTATACAAAAGCATAAAGGAACATCTCACGGCATGGGTACGAAATAGTGAAGTCAGGAGCATAAACAGCTCTATTCTGGTGCACGTGGTTGATTCCAGACAGCATGTGGACACCAGCGAAGCCTTCCAAGTGAATAATAAGGTCCCACGAAACTATCCAAAGTCCCTGCGTCAGTGCCTGCTAGCTTCAACAGAAGTGACCGCTATCAGGTTGATGAAACCGGCATTAGGTGCACAAAAATAACCCCCTACAAGCTCCACTTCTGCCGTGGCTCACGGCCACATAGTGGCATGCACGCGTCAGCACTCTATTTATCCCCTCTCCCCCTTCTCCTCCCACCCCCTCCCCTAGACTGGCTTCACCAAACCTTGTCCTTTTACCCAGACTTCCCTCATCGGCCTTTCACCCTATAGTCACGACTCACCTGTACGAAAAGACGAACACGTTTTAACTTGCACCCCGTTCCAAAATAAATGTACTGGCTCGACAAAAATTTATCGAAAGCCTGCGTACTCTCGCCAACTACTCTTCAAAAATATTTTTTTCTTGGTTTAGAATGTAAAGCCGACGAATTTCAGCTGGTGTACTCTATTAACACCAGTCCCTAAGGTCAGAGTCTCGAGGTTCAGTAAATATCTAGCATCTGAGTACATTAAAACTAAATGTTCCCGTGTATACAAGTGCATGAGTTGAAGTTTTAAATTAACTAGAATAAATATGTCATTTCGAGTCAGATTATCTTCACTGTGGGAATAAGTCTGATTAACGATAAGATTACAAACACGTTGCATATGAGACACCCAGTTTTACTGATAATGGCCCTACAAATAAACAGTATTCTGAGCGTTTCTTTAATGCCACTTAAAATAAAAAGCTGAATTTAGTCCTTCTTACTTCTTTTTAACTTAGTTTTAACATTCTGTACTAGTGCTATTTTTATCAAAGGTCAATAAGGTCCTGTGGAAATAACACCCATGGTATCTTCGTTTATGTTACTTCCATCAACCAAACACCTTGGAATGACTATCAAATGGAAAGTAAATTGAATGGAAAAGCCTGCGGAAACGTGATCAGGGCGATGATGCCTAAGCGCTTGAAGTTGTCTCGTCTATCATTTGCACTATTTACTCTCCCTAGTGAAGCGCTTAGAAGACAAGCCAATGATTTTGGAGTTTGCTTTCCAAGACAGCGAAAATCATTTTAGTTTTAATAATAATATTTTGCCATACTGGTATCAACTTAAAAGAAGATAAGAAGAATAACGATGAGACGATCCCACATTCTGTTTGTTTTGAAACCTCGGTGGCTGTTATTCAAGTTTGAGGGAAACACCCTTCCGGAAATCCCCTAAGTCTTGGATAAAATAGCATGCATTTGAAAATTTACTTCACCATATTTAACTGATAGATTATTAAACATTCCTCCGTGGTAAATGAATTTCCAAATGCATTTTGTTGGTTTTATCCTCCTTTTACATGCAGAATTTTAGTAGGTGCAGTTCTACAGTTCTTTATAACGCGGCTGGTTTGAGAGTTGTGAAACCTTTATGCAATATGTCATGTGATGGACGGCAAACAAATGCTGCCCCTTTCTCGTTCCATGCCCGCTGCCCTCTACATCATCCGTATTTGCAGGCGGTTGTTCCCACTTGCTGACCCGAAGACTACTTGACCGATATTCAGTCGCACACATGTGCGCACACACGCACGTATGCGCATACCCAACTAGTCACGGTTTCTACAGAGCCACTTGAACACGCCAAGCCGTGGCCACGCAGCAGGTGGCCTCTACAGTCTACACCCCCTTCGGCCAATTGCAACACACTAACAGAAGAGCACGTGAACTCGCTTCGCCATCATCTAAAAGCAGCTGCCCTTATCACAACATCCAGCCGACACTCTCAGGCACGATTGGACGCAGACAACAACAGCCCTGGCTGCCTGATACATCAACATGTGGGTTTGTGCACAATAAAGCCCTCATTCTGGTGACTCTTGCCTGTTACCTAAATTCTGGGATTCGACTTGATAAATGTAGTGATCCGAGTACAACCATGACTTTGACCGCTACAATCATCGCTTCAAAATGGCTTAACAAGTGAATTATTGGTCATTAAGCATAGTTTGGTACTAGGTACTAAGGCGGGGAAATCCCTGTCGTCTGGTTTTATGCAAACATTCTCCTCTACAGCCTTTTGGGTTTCGCGGTCAGATTGGTTACATTGGAGAGGCTGGTAGGTTAATAAACCACCTAATTTACTGAAAGATCGGGACCTCTGTACTTTGTGACTGAATTCTATGTCCCATCCTGCAAAAAGATCGACTTTAAGGATGCCTAAATTATTTACGGCGGGAAATTATGAGAGTGACGAGAGGGCCTAGTATACGTCGGATATTCATCGACCGTCCTGTAAGCCTCCTTCTCCTGAATATTATCAGGAGAAATGGCTGCACTTTAGCCGACGCGACCATGGGGTTTAGCGCCAATATTGCAGGAACGTAGGCGGTTGTGGCAATGCGAACATGCGTTCCATCACTAGTATTAGTTTAGGCGCAAGCGTTGATTGAATTTGGCGAAGCCTGAAGTTTCAGCCCAAGGTTACGGGCTTCATTTGACGCACAAAATCGGTGCAGAGGTAATATGTCGTAGTAATAATGCCCAACTTGTAGCAGAGAACCGGTGAACTTTACCTGAAACATAGTCACGGTGACATAAAATGCTGTGCGGTACGTCACTCACACGCCTTCCAATGAGGAAGTTGTGTTTTATTTTAAGTCTTCAAGCAATAAAATTAGCCTTATGGAAGACGTTTTCTTTGCTGGAACTTTATGAACGTACGCGACGGTCAGAAACATTTAATGCTATTTATATTTTCCCTTATGTTTTCATTTTTATTATTACAAATTGAGGCATTCTTCCACTTTTCGCGGTCGATAATAGTACTCTATTTAAATGAACATGAAAAAACGAAGGTCAGAAAAGTGTAATGAAATGCATATTGTCCTTTAACTTTTATCTTCATTATTGTTAGAGATGTTTAGCAGATTTGCTTAATTCGGTTGGCCCAATGGTTAAAAATTCGCGGTCTCGGTGGGAGTCGAACCCACGCAACAGGGAAGGCTTTTGCGCAGTCAGCGCTCTCCTATTGAGCTACGAGGCTCACCTTGAGCCATGCATTTAATCACACTTGGGTCGATTTACCCGTCCAACTTACTGCTAGTTTGAAATTCATTATTACGGAACAGCAAGCTGACTG